GGCCAGCTGCTCCGCAAGCATCTTCACAAGGCGGGCTGTCTCGGGGCCACCTCCGGGTGATAATTCATGCTCTCCGGGCGTTGAAGAAGATCATGATGTGCCCCAACTCCTTCTGGGGATGCCCGCTGCCTGGCCAGCCCGGAAGGGGGTCGCCCTGCACCAGCTTCTTCTCGATCTCCGCCACCGCCATCGTGGTCATGTCAAGGTCCGCGCCAGCAGAGTCCAAAGTGGGGCCTGCTCCGGCAAGGGCAGCCATCTTGCCAGCAGCACCTGCGCGGATCACCTGGTGGAGAGCTCTGGCCCGCCTTGGGCAGGCTCACGCACGTAGGCGGGCTCAGAAGGAAGAGCAGGGCTGGAAGCAACGTCCAGAGAGGCAGTGGAGGGCGGGTGCTCCGCCTTCTCCTCCACTTCATCCCTCTGGACTCCGGACTCTGGACTCGGTCCTCCGGACTGTCTTGGGCTCTGCTCACCCACCGTGGGCTGCTTGCCCGCACTGGGCTTCTGTGACTCTGAGTGTCCGCAGCCCGCAGCAGGCGTGGAGCTCTCCGCATCAGTGGAGCCACCTCTAACCGAAAGCTTGAGGGTCTTCCCCTCTTGCAGAGGCTGCCCTGTTGAAGGGCTGAAGCGCAGCGTCAAGCCACTGGGGAAGTCGACAAACATCTCCGTTGCCGGTGTGCTTGGAGCTGGCCATGCTGAGGACCTCAGAGCTTGGCCCGCAGATGGCCCACTCAAACTCGCCTGGCAGTGGGGCGGGTCCAAGGGGCTAGGAAAAGCATCAAGAAACCACAAACTTTTGCAACACAAACAAGCACACATATGCTGGAAAAAACTGCACTTGCTCAAGGCGCTGAGGCCTGTTTCCGGGAGCTGCGCCACACTGGGTTTGCAGCCCTGGCCACTGATCACTGAGACGGCTGTCCAGTGGTCCTGCTGCTTGAGCGCGAGCAGCACGGTCTCACAGAGAAAGGCGTCTCTTGGGGTGCCCTTCTGCACTGTGAGATCCAGCTTGCCGATTTGGTTGCCCATGGCTGGCACTGACAAGCTGAGGGACCCTGGACTCCGCACTCAGAGGCTGTGTCTGCTCTAGGGCCACATGGCAATTTCAATCATAACATGTCAACATTTGCAAGCCCTGTGGAAGCAACAACTTCATGCTGAACGCCCTACTAAACCTATTGCAACACCACACACATTTGGGTTTCAAGGGCCCTTTAAGCAACATGATGGTGCCCCCGCAACGGTTTTCAGCAGCACTTTTGCTGCGCCCTTGAGCTTCAAAGAGGGGCCTGGAAAACCTAGGTTTCCCAGACGTCTCCTCAGATTTCCAGACGGGGGCCCCCTATTTCCAGACAGCCCTGCAAGCACGACCGCTCTGGATGGGGGTGCGGTCAGGCCTTGGACGGTCAGGTGGGTGTGCCCACTGCGAATTGCCATTTAGCCGGGGGTGGGTAAGGGTCTAACATAAACTAGCCAAAAAGTCGCTGCGGTTATTTATTTCCTGGCAAGGAAAGTCAAAGTTTGGACATGTTAAGGATTCCCTATTTGGAAAAGCGCTTTTCCAAATAGGCATCCTTATCATCTCCAACTTGCTTTCCTTGCGCGGGCCCACAATCAACATAACACCCTTCTGCGCCCTGCCCTTAAAGGATTGTTTAGCCTTGACTTGCCTGCAATCCTGTCTAAAACCAACAACTTTTCTCCACCGTAAAAGGTCCATGGCTTAAAGCCAGGTGCCTGGCCTGAACTTGGATTCCGGCCGGCTGGCCAGGACCTAAGCGACTTCCGATCAGCTAGCCAGCAAGTTTGTGGCTACGCCGTCCGTGCCCGGGCGAAATAAATTAGCTCGCTGGCTCGCAGCAACGTACGGGCCTTGGTCCAAGGGGCCAAACGCAGTGCTAAACGCTAAATCCAGTACTACGCGGCGAGCTGCGCGAAAAGTGTTGGGGAGCGAAGCGCCCCGCGTAGCGTGCGAAAACGCGTGCGAGCGCGCGCGTGCGTGCGTAGGTAATATATATAATAACACTTCGTCACTCGTCGTCAGCACAAGTTGCGACAGTTGCGCAAGACGCGTGGAGTAGTAGCCACCATCCTTGCAAATGCATTGCCCGTCCTCCCAGACACAGCCCCGGGCAGCCCGTGACACTGGGCCTGCTACTTCCTTGGGAACTAGTGTGGGCTACATGGAACTCAGTGAAGAAAGTGCACTGACTTGCCCTTGCGAAGCACATACCGGCTGAGCCAAATCAAATGGTGTTTGAATTTGCAAGGGTTTTGCGTTGGCAAGGGCATGTGTATGTGCAGCCTGGCACTCAGACCTGAAGGCCCCCTGCGTGCCCCGAAAACCCTGCCCATTTGAAAGGATGCACGCCTTGAAGCTTTGTTGCACCCGTGACTTGTGCAGGGGCACCTCCAAAATCAATTCAGTCCGGTCCAGGGTGCAAGTTGGTCGACAACTGGCAACACGGCTTGAAAAACACGATCGGCCCCGCCCGAGTGAGGCCCCCGCTGCGGAAGAGAAGCCAGTTGGCTTTGCGGGCAAGCCCGCTCCTCCCTTCACAGCAGCCGAGGTTCTTGAACCAAAGACTCCGGTAGAAGTAGGCCACCCCTATGGTTCCATGTTCATCAGCCATTTCGATTCAGTCTGTATGTCCACCGAAAAGGATGATGCGCATGGAATCATAGAGGTTGCGCACTTCTGCGCGGACAATCTCGTCCAAACGAGCGGGCAAGTGGCCAGCGGCCGTTGTGGCGGAAAAATGCGGGCTCGTCAAGAGTGTGTCTGTGTGTGTGTGTACGTGTGTGTGGACGTGTGACTGTGGTCTTGTGTGTTTTTCATGGCATCATCTGTGACAAGTAGCAGCAGGACACAGTTACAAGCCAGAAAAACCAAGCTACCAGAATCAAAAACCCAACTACCAGAATCAAAGAACAGAGGTTTTTCCACAAAGTCACCAGTTGCAATTGGTTGCGAATGGGAAAATAGGTGGAGAAACTAACGAATCCAAGCAAGCTTACGAAGCAAGTCTGTGAAGGCCACGTGCACGGCTCCATGTAAACAGCCCGGCGTTCCAGGTGCGCCAAAATTGTCATTTTTGCCGCACACCTGACCCGAACAAACGGTGCCAATGTGTTTCTAGGACGAACCACCTCTTCAGAAGCTGTAGCCTCTTGGGGTTCGCCCTACTTATTTGGAAGCAGCCTGGAAGCACGTTGACATGAATATGCTGAGCACACTTGGCCCAAACAAAAGGGCGCATGAACATCCGAAGAGCTGACCCCGGTCTACTCAGATCGTGGTAACACTGTGTCTCAGACTTGTTTCAGACAGGCGTCAGACCCACCAAGTGACCGAGGCTTGTCCACACCGAGCCCCCCGCAAAAGCGCAGCGCCGGCCCCATCTCCACACACCTGCGGCGAATCCACCCAACTTGCCATCCACACGCATCCAATTGACAACGTGCGCGGCCCTTTCCACAAAGTCACCAGTTGCAATTGGTTGCGAATGGGAAAATAGGTGGAGAAACTAACGAATCCAAGCAAGCTTACGAAGCAAGTTTGTGAAGGCCACGTGCACGGCTCCATGTGAACAGCCCGGCGTTCCAGGTGCGCCAAGATTGTCCTTTTTGCCGCACACCTGACCCGAACAAATGGCGCCAATGTGTTTCTAGGACGAACCCTCTCTTCAGAGTCTGTGGCCTCTTGGGGTTCGCCCTACTTATTTGGAAGCAGCCTGGAAGCACGTTGACATGAATATGCTGAGCACACTCGGCCCAAACAAAAGGGCGCATGAACATCCGAACAGCTGACCCCGGTCTACGCAGATCGTGGTAACACTGTGTCTCAGACTTGTTTCAGACAGGCGTCAGACCCACCAAGTGACCGAGGCTTGTCCACACCGAGCCCCCCGCAAAAGCGCAGCGCCGGCCCCATCTCCACACACCTGCGGCGAATCCACCCAACTTGCCATCCACACGCATCCAATTGACAACGTGCGCGGCCCTTTCCACAAAGTCACCAGTTGCAATTGGTTGCGAATGGGAAAATAGGTGGAGAAACTAACGAATCCAAGCAAGCTTACGAAGCAAGTTTGTGAAGGCCACGTGCACGGCTCCATGTGAACAGCCCGGCGTTCCAGTTGCGCCAAGATTGTCCTTTTTGCCGCACACCTGACCCGAACAAATGGCGCCAATGTGTTTCTAGGACGAACCCTCTCTTCAGAGTCTGTGGCCTCTTGGGGTTCGCCCTACTTATTTGGAAGCAGCCTGGAAGCACGTTGACATGAATATGCTGAGCACACTCGGCCCAAACAAAAGGGCGCATGAACATCCGAACAGCTGACCCCGGTCTACTCAGATCGTGTTGTAACACTGTGTCTCAGACTTGTTTCAGATGGGTGTAGAGCGAGCTTATGCCTTGCTTCCAATCTGGGAGTGGTAGTTTGTGCGGATCCATTTTCGGATTTCTGCGATTGGTTCTTCATGATGAATCGGATGACTTCGTGCCTTCCATGTAGTGCGGGGCCTGTCATGTTTCACCCGTGCCTTTGCCTTTTTCTCTGTGCTTGGTCAGAGCACAGGCTGCTGGCTGCCAATCCGGCCGTTGCGGTTGCTCCCCTTCTTCATCTGTTTTGGGGTTGATTTCCCAACTGTGAACAACTTAAATCTTGGTTTGCCTTCGCACCCTTGAGCCGGAAAACAACGGGATCCACATGCCATGGGGAGTGAGGCTGGTTTGCTTTTGGGTTCCCGGGCTCCTCTTGTTTGTCAAAACCAGGCCTGTCCGCTTGCGCCTTAAATTGATTGGTCTACAGCAGGGCTCCAGTTTCCATGAAAAAACTGCACGCAGCCCAGTTTGCCTAAACTGTTGCCACAAAATGTCATGGCAGCCCATTGGAAAGTAAAGGGACTGAAGCCAAGCCCAACCAGGCGAGGCTGACCGTTTGCGGGTCCAGTTTTGTCCGCCAAAAAGCAAGATGAAATCGCCTATCCACAGTCCAGTCCTGACGATCACACTGAACATCTGCTCCTTTGGCAGATATGGCGATGGTCTCCTGACACTCAAGCAGTACTTGGTAACACCAGTCATGAGATGCTATGCTCCCTGAAAATCAGCAAGTGTGTAGATCCAGCTGGGATTGGCGGCGCTTGTCTTTGTTTGGCTCTCGGATGGCCTGATGCCTCGAGGCAAATGGAGATCTGTAAGCATTTGCCTCGGATTCTACAAAGTTATTGCGTTGCTCCAGGGCACTCCCAGAATTATCGTGTCATCTCTAGCATCTCCAGCTGTGGCCTCTGCTGATGGTGATTGCTCCGTGTGGTCTTGGAATGGAACATGTGGTGCCTCCCTGTCATGCGCACGCACACATATATATATATACATATATGCCTCTCCTCCTCAATGGGAATGGAGCAGTACTTGGAATGCTCCTCCCAATCTGTCAAGTTCAGGGACCGCTTGATGGCATACACTACGGACTCATCAGAATCACGGTTGCTCATGTGTAGAACCTCCTCGCAAGCGCAAGTTGGCATGCAACAAACGCACCGTCAGCACTGAAGGTTTAGCAGGCGTTCGTTTCGTTGCCTTTCGCCCTGATGCTTTCAACTTACCAATCAAGTCGCGCAAAAGAGCACATTGATGACATGGCCAAGAACATCCAAGAACTAAGTGAATCAACACTCCGAACACTCTTCGTCTGGCCTCGTGCATTCCCACTGGGAGGCCGTCTCTCCAGCTCTTCAGTTCAACGACATGGAGGTCGTGTAGGGCCGGTGGCTCGAGCTGCGGGTTCCACGGCACGCGGATCATCGGAAACTTGCCGTTGATTGGCCGAAACAGCCTCGGCTAAGTCACGCTCACTGTTCAGCAAACGGCAGGGGTCTGCAAACACGACACGATACTAACTGAAACATGCAATGGCTGTGGAAGGAGTATAAGTTATGCCTGACCAAGCAATGAACTACACCGAACACGCATGCAAACGCAAGGAAAAAGGAGAGCTGCTACAAGCAAAGCGGCATGCAATTCAAGCTCCTGACCAGGCGCGAACGTGCGCACACCACCTTGCTTTGTCGCGGGCTCTGCTGCTCCCTGGCGCAAACGACAGTTCCGAAGAGCATGGCTGCCTGCGCCGTGGAGGCATCCCAGGCCCGGCCAAGATCTTGCTTCACTTGCTTTCTGCCCACGCCCACGCCCTCCACGGCCACCCGCGCAGCCAAGATCCGCACCCAGCAGCGGTCATGGTCCCAGGCGCGGTTTCGATTCAGGGCTCCGATGATGTGCACTCGGCAGCCCAGGAGCTGAGGTGGGCCCTGGTCCACCACCAGCTGCGACTTGGACCGTCGGAGCCGGAAATCTGACCCGGAAAGGACGCGGAAAGTGCCAGACACCAAGCGGCCCTTCAGATCGCCAACGTGGCAAACATCTCTCTGCTGCCTCCTGAGTTCGCACTGGTTCAGACTGTTTTTGACAGGCTCAGACTCTACATAGTTTGCAAGCATAATTAAGCGATGATGATGTTGAACATGACACCCTCGTGTAGTGTTTATGCATTGTGATGAGGATATAAAATTGACTTGCGAAAGCAAACGCCAAAGCTGTACTGACCTGCCCAAACGCATCTCACTCAACAAATCTTCCAGAACAGCACGCTCTGTACTTGGATCAGCAGGCGCGTCTTCTTGAAAGTCTGGCTCGTCCTGACCCAGAATGTCTTCGTCACTTTCGCTGCGATAGCTTTCTGCATCTTCCGCGCTGAGAAAGTCATCTGCCACACCTTCAGCCTCCTGATGAGATTCTGGCAGTGGCTCCCCTGGTTCATCCTGACTGGAAGCAAAGCTGCCTGAAGACGGCAGCTGCGTTTGAAAGCTATCTTGGCATCTGTTCTGTGCAACTTCCTTACAATCTGACGCAGGCGGAGCACAGTGCGGCGCAGAAAGTGGAGCTGGCAAACACGCCTCTTGCTGGGGCGGGGGAAAGGATGGCGGCGGCAGCGGCGGGCGCCATGGAGCCGCCGCTGGCGTTGGCGGTGACTGTGGGGGTGGAGGGGGAGGTGGCTTGGGGGTGGGCTCAGGCGCTTTGGAAGCAGGTAGTGCAGGTGCTGCAGGCGCGGGCGCTGCAGGGACGCCAGGCGCAGGCTGCTTGGCTCCTACAATCTCTGCCCAGGTGGTTGGTGGCTTCGCTGCAACTTCATTTTGGTTTACCAGGGAAGGCGACTCCGCAGCCTTGCATGAGCAACTCTTTGTTACAACGGAGCAGCAAACTGTGATTTCACTGCTGCTGTCGTGCCTGCATCGTTGGCCCAGGTGGATTGGATGAGCATGATGAGGCCTGCGTCTCCTGCATCGCTTGCTAATTTTCACGGTGGCAAATATGAATAGTGCTTCTGCGAAGTCCTTGCCGGCATTGTTGTCTTTGGTCCATTTCTTCCCCTTGCTCTTCTTCGGATGCTCGACTGGCGTTTCCGCCAGTTCGCACAGGCCTTGCAAAACTTGCGCGAAATGATGCTTCAAGGGCTGCGGCAAACTACCAACGCTGTCCAGCACTCTCCAGCAAGAAGCAACCAATACTGCACGCTTGCACACGCGCAGCCAAAGGAATCTGTCTTGAGTATGTATCCGCCGACCCCTTCTTGCCACAAGGGGAGGCGCACGGGGAGGCTAACAACAAATCATTGCTACATTGACAACTTCAGGGCAGAGCAAAAGTGAGCGCGTTTTTCAACCTGACGCTGATTTCGCATTCTGACGCTGCATTCTGGAAACATGTGACGGTACACCTTCTGATGCTACACTCCCCCTGACGCCTGCACGGCTGAGAAAATCCGCATTTATTGCAAACACCAGGGACGCGAAACACCTAGGCAAATGGACGTAGCACAGGTGAGCCAGCGGGAGCAGTGTGACGGGCGTGCTTTTTAGGAAAGGCAGAGGTGGTGGATCTAAAGGCCGAGGGCTCTTTTTATTGACCGTTCTGACGTTTGCGGCGATTTGAAGATACTTGATGAACTTGGTTGCGCCTGAATGGGGGTGTCTGGGGCCGGGGCTCTGCCCATCATCAGACTCACTTCATGGACTGGGCGGTGTTTTCTCGCGTGTCTTAGCAGGCATAGCTGCGTTGGACCTGACGCCGCGTTCCCTGACGCCTTGCTCCGCCAGGACGCCACGTTCCCAGCTGACGCCGCGCTCCGGGGCCACATTCCTTGATGCCGCCTTCCCCCCTGACGACGCATTCTTAAGGCGAACGCCACGCTTTGAGCGCCCTAGTTTTGTGCTTTATCTCGCTTTGCGGGAAGGCCGCAGGGCAGAAGCAATCCTGGGTCCAGGGGCGTTGGAAACAGAACTGCGACCCGCATGCTGTAGCCAAGTGGCGTCACACTGCTCGCGCGCACTCACCCAATTGCTCCTGAAACCTACCAAGCTAGCTCTTTTTTCGCTCACTGTCCGCAAAATCAGCCGCTGGCGCTGTTGGTTCAAAGAAAAACTTCACTTCAGTTGCTTGTCACTCGCTGGACGGGCGTCTTCTCAGATGCGCAAACAGAGCGCTGGTTTTCAGCTTTGCGCATTTTTCCGGGCAATTGGATGCGTGCACTTCCACGCATGCATGCGCTTCTACTCCTCATCCTCAACCTCCTCCCCCGGAGTCCGGGCGCTCTGGGCAAGAGCTGACCAAGTCTCCCGCGGGGCTGCCTCAAACGAAGTGCATGCGGCGGCGGCCCGCGAGCCGGCTCCAAAGCTCACCCAGCACTGCAATAAGAACCAGAAAGTCCAGCACCGCTGACAACCAAAAGAGAAGTAAGTTTCCAGCCCTGACAAACCAGGCAGCGGCCCCCAGTTTCTCCAGGCCCTCGCCAGTCTGGTTACCAGGCTGCGCTCAGCCCCGCCCGGCATCAGTTGCCCAAGCCCAGAGCTCTTGCTAAGGCGGGCAGTGGGCAGCGTTCACAATTACATGTGTAGTGGGACATAGACAAGTAGAGTCGCCGTCACACACTTTGCCGACCTCGCTTGAGAAAGGGTGCAACGTATTATCTTCATCCTGGCTTGGGCCCACCAGTCTCGGCCACCCGCCTGTTGCTTGAGAAGGTGGTGTTGGTGCCTCTGTCTCAAGCTCCTGGCTGGAACAAGTCGCACGGAAAATAGAACACAATTGTAGTCGCCACAGACTCTCCCTGCAACTTTAGAGATCCTGAAAAAACCTGCAATTTTTCTGAAGAAAGCTTACAAAGAAGTTTCAAGCTGTTCTCCGGTCTCCTTGGAATTTGCAGAGCCTTCGCCTGCGAAACAAACGTATTATCACCTTCATTTGCGCACGCCCAAGCTGCCTTGCGCTGAAAACAGAACACGCCCATGGGAGTAGCAAGTTGTGGCCACAGCACCCGCGGCCTTGCTGGCGTGCGCTTGTCGCTTGAAGTGGCGCGCACCATTCCTGGCAAATTCGAAGTCTGAAACAGTCAAAGCACAGTGGTCCACAAATTAACCTCTTCCTGTTTGGTTGGAGGGCGGGACCCCTCTACCAGTCTCCATTGCCCTTAAGCAGCGACTTCAGGCCATTCGGACTCCAAGCGCTTTGCAAACTCTGGGCCAGCCTGCGGCCGACGAAAAAGGGGCCTCAACAAACAAGACTCTGGAGCACTCGAGCCGACAGGAAGCTGAATTTACCCGACCACACCTGGCTAGTTCATTGTCATCTTTGAAACGTTTCGTTGGTGTTGTCCAATTCAATGACTATAAAATTCATTGGTTGTGGCGCGTGGCCTGAAGTTCACCTATCTCTCATCTACAGGAAGCGACTGAGTGTGGAGCTCTCCCATGTGCCAGGCTTCGTGCAAGTCGCCGTTCAGCTTGATGCCAAGCCCTGAAGAATTCAATCGATGAAATAAGTATTGCCTAAAAGAGGACTCTCTCTCGGAGCAAATGGCCGAAGCTGTTCCGAACGAGCTGCCATGGTGCAACTCAGGCGTGGTTGTCTTTGCCAGCTTGAACTTGTGGCCTCGCGGAACAGGACCCGACGCTTGTCTGCGAGCTGCGCCGTGGCCCAATCGGCCGTGTGACTCTTGTCTGGAAGCAACGTTGCTGACCTAGCGCTCTGATCTGAGATACAGGGTGTTTCTGGCTTAGGGCGGACAAGGACAGGGGATTGGGATGCGCAGCTGTCGACCAATCAAGCCTCAAATTGATCAACTGTGTCACTATCACGGAAGCGTTATGCTGTGGATTTTCTCAGCTACTTGGGCCTGAACTTGACATCATGTTCTTTGATGGCCAAACAGACCACTCTCCAGGTCTGACTACATCTCAACGAGGGATCCTTGTCTTCGTGGCAATATACTCGTTGGCATCTAGGCCACACATTTGCATCACATTTGGCTGAGCAGCGTATCTCGCTATCGTCGGTGTGTTTGTGCCAAATCACACAAGGCACCTGGAGCAAGCGGCAATGGCTTTCCACTGAGCGCTGGGTTTGCAAAGCCGCGCCTTCACAACTTGGTGAGCCCAGAGGCCCTGCAACATTTTGAAGGCAGCCAAGCGCCGGTTGTCCAGGGAAAAAAACAAGTCGCCTCGGCCCGGACGCGCGTCAAGTCTTTGCTTGGTCTGATCCAAAAAAACATGGAGGGTTCAATTACAAAGAAGGGCCAGCCCTTTTTCTGGGGGGGCCAAACGTAGTTGGCAATAGAACCTGTTACACTTGTCTGGGTGTTGCTTGGCTTCATATGCGGGTAAACTCGTCGGCAGTTGACACACTTGCGCTGTCTCTCTCAAAATGGAGGCAGCTGCGCCTTCTTTAAACTATTAAGCTCATGGCGGTCCTCCTCTTGCGCTGTATTCAGCGAGAACCAAGAGCCAGGAGAACACCACGCTTGCGTTGTGCTACTAATTTCATGACAGGTCCATCACAAAGGGGACGAAGGGCCGAATTGCAAACACTGAAGACGCTGCTTGTCTTCTAACATGGCAACATAGGCGGGCGTTGAAAGATTACGAATGTTCAAAGTCATACTGCCCATGTCAAACCAACTTGCTTGCCTGAGGCTGCTATCTCGCAATTCCTGGTTGCTGGTGCTGCAAGTACAAGGCTAGGTTGCTTCACACATCTTTGCACGTGCAACAAGGGACACACCAGACAGGCACCACGCAAACACACCACACACACACACACACACACGGCAGTCGTCGTTTCGAAAGGGCGCCCAAGAGCACGCTTTCAGTGCCTGCCAGATAAACAGGCGAGACGAGGTCTCATGCCTACGCTGGGCTAACACGCGCAGCTATTGTGCGCACAGCTACCGTCATGGGTGGGCTTGGAAGTACAAAGGTCCCCTCAGCTGCGTGCTGCAAACTAGACAAGAATTACATGAAAAGATAGACAAAACTCAGTGACCGCCGGATTGCTTATAGCCACTGACATTCCCCCCCTAGGATCTCCACGGCTTCCTCGTGCGTGCGTCATTTACAAATGGAAACTTTCAAGAATATGTTAGATCCCGACTTGGACTAGGTCACGACGAGCCCAAAGCGCAATCAATCATCCCACGTGGTTCTGCGTGTGGACGTGTGTGCCGCCAGAATGCAATCATTGGTTGATCGTTCAGGCAGAGAGGCAAACAGTGGAATTCTCTGTGATAGTCTGGCCTTTTGTTGGCAGCTTTTGCACCGAGGATACCGGTCGCATGGTTGGTTTGGGGCCTTGTTACGGGAGGATGCGCGTGTGAGATTGAAGCCAGTCTGGCGGCAGCTCGCGCAGTGAGCCACACATGGCTCGCTCAGCTTCACGTTTGATGTCTTCAGCAAGAGCGTCTGCAGAGCTTTCAAGATGTTATGGCTTCAGTGCGCCTCATGTCCAAGAGGCCTCCATGTACTCAGCTGGGCTGGGGCTGCGAATGCGTCTATATCGCGCATTTCGTTCATGAGAGAAGGCCTGCGCCTCTGCACCTGCGAGACACTGTGAGTCGCTAGACTGTTTGTTGGGCGCAGCTCATAACGCTCCACATTCTCGCAGACCATGCTTGTCCTCTTGCTTCAGCGGCCTATGACATGCTGACATCTGAAGCGCGCTGACATGCTCTCTGAGCATATCTGAGCATGCTTTGCGTGGCCTGGTTCAGGCAATCTATGGCCGCTCTGCCACATGATATGCCGAATCATAAGCGCACCCTGCTCAAGAGCACACACTGGACACATGCCTGCCAAGTGACAAGCGCGCTCGCTCAAGAGCACATGTTCGAACCCCACAAGATGTACAAAGTAAACTTTTGCTATCGTATATCATCTGACATGATGGAAAAACACGTGGGTCAGTGCCAGTCCGGCGCGTAAACTCCTAGTAGATTTGCGTACTAAGTTGGCCAATGATTGGGCGTCACCATGCACTACCGTCCTAGGCAACCAACAAGAACGGTGAAGCCAACAAACAACTCCCAGAAAGTCCCGCAGACAAAATTACAAAGCTCTGCAACCTACGCAGGGCACACTACAACATGGAAGCATGTGCTCCAGTCTCCTACTCTAACCTGGATGTGTCGTGTCAGACGCCCCCCAGTTGAGCCAAAGGCACCGTCCAGCACAACTTGCAGTGGAGGTATCTCTGCAAGGCTCAGGCGGTTGCAAAGGAGATCGTGCACCTTACATGACGGGAACAACGATGCAGGCAGCACCATCCGCTTTGTGAGGTGCGCCAGCATTAAAGCACCACACCTGAACCGCATCCCTCTTTCGTAAAGAATATCTGAGGCCAGCACAAGGCAGTACACAGATGAATCTCCTCTGCGCCCATTGCCAAAGACCATCTTGCTGTTTATGCCGTGCTGTGCGAACCTGGCAGTTTCAGGACTTCAGGATGCCTCTGCTTTCTTGTCGCAGGATGACCGGCTTGCCCAAAAGACCCACGCCTCAAACAGTGCACTGGCAGCTCGGCCACCTGCGGCTCTGCTTGGGTCGGCCGCAGTCTGCACAGCTCGCAGCCCCCGGACCTGAGATGCGGATTCATGTTCATACATGTTGCATATGTTCATATCAGGGTAAAACCGGCATTGAGCAGTTGCCTGTGTCTAAGAAACATAAGCCTTTGAGGATACAAGTGCCAAAATGCAAAGTGTGGATCATGCCAGCAAGAGACTAACTACCTGTCATGAAGTGACAATCCAGAAGGTACGTAAGACTCTTGCACATTAAGCAAATTAGCATAACAAGGTTGGGCTGCAAAGGAACATAAAACAATTGGGCAAAGATGTTCACTCTGTTGAACTATACCGAACATCGTTTGTCGATGTCTCCTGCAGTGCATTAAGTATCAGGCAGCTGCGGCTGTTCCCTTCTATGGCCAAAAGTGAACAGTCGATCAGCGGAGAGCCCGCCTAAACTTCTGCAGCTCCCGCTCAATCTCGAAGGGCAGCAATGAGGCCCTGGTGGGCAATCCTGAGCTGTATCCAAACAAGGATGCTCAGGCTGTCCATGTCAGGTTCGTATTCGGAGCTTGAAGTGACCCCTGAAGGCAACCCAAGTCAAGGCACCATCCGCTTCTCCCCAAGCCATGGCCCCTCAGGCGCGCCCAAGTCACCTTGAACACTTTCCATAGCTGCGGTGGACACGAGACGCCCTAGCGTCTAAAGAGTAATAAGCCAGTCTGCACGTTCACCAAAGCGCAGTGATCAACAGGAAGATGATGAGGGGTGCTTTGCTTGCTGGTACTATACTTCCTTACATTTGCTGGATTAATCTGCATTTTTGCGCCTGTGTCATTGGCCTGTTCTGGCGCGCTGAACGTTCAGGCGTGTGCTCCTCCTCGTAGAGATTGGAAGTAGGGATGGGCGTAATCTCTGAACGAGCTCGAAACGTGCACGATTGGCACCGCAAGCGCTTTCCGCAAGTTCCAGGGGTCGACGCCAAGCAACTTCGCTTTTTTGTGCCTTTTGGCCTTCCGCGCACGTGGAGGTGCCTTGCTCTGCATTTCTCAGTCGGCTCACGTAACCCTCTGCAGTTCCAAGCTATGAAATCTCTGGCTAAGGCACTAACTCACCAACTAACTAACTAGGTGTAAGACTAACAAACTAGTTCACTGGCTAAGTCATGGCTACACAAGCAATTCTCTGATTGCATATAACTAGCTACTAGCAAAATTAGACAATTCCACAACTAGCTGCCTAGCCATCTAGCTACGTATCTAGCGAACTGGCTAACAAGCTAACTAAGTGATACAATACGTAGCTTACCTGCCGCTACCTGGTCAAGTGACTAACCTTTCAAATGAGGAGCCAGCTGGCTAGCTGACTGGCCAAGTACCGGACTAACAAGCAAGCAAGCAAGCAAGCATGCGAGCGAGCGAGCGAGCGAGCAAGCGAACAAGCAAACAAGCAACAAACAAACTAAAAACAACTACACTGCTAAGAACCTGCTTGGCTGACGTGAAAACTGACTTTTCAAACACATAAACACTCTCTATGGCGAAAGCGAGCAAACTGCCGATCCAACTAACAATGGACTGCCCAACGAGCTAGCGAATTGATCGCGGGCGCGCAGGCTGCTCTGTGCTTTCCCGAGGGCAACTTGAATGGGCAAACGCGCCTCAGTGCATCTAAAAGCTGGCTTGGTTTCAAGTGCCCACTTGCATCCAAGAGAGACCGTCGATATGTTCGCCCTCAAACGTAGCGACGCGTCAGCTGCGTGCTTATAAGTAGACCTGGTATACAAACTCAGTCCACCCTCACTGCTTCAGCACTGAGCCGCTTTACACATGCTTGAAACTACGCGTGCCATCGGCGCTGCGTGGGCGGCTGTGTTCGGCCCAGAGACATTGCCAAAGGCGTATCCAAAGACAATCTTTCAATGACATCCCCGAAAGATCCGCAAACATCTCCAAGACGTCTCCCTTCAGATATTTGGATGGACAACCCGAAAACACATCTTCACAGACATCACCGAGAAAACACAAAACAATAAAACCGATTCCCAAAGACCTCCATGCAAGCTATCTTCAGATTCACAATGAGACGTTTGCCAAGACATGGTTCGAGACGTTCTCGAAAAACACCCCGAAAGACATCCATGCCAAAGATAGGCCCACAGACCTCCCCAAAGACATGCGTCAAGACGCATGTAAGAAACTGCACACTCTGTACTCCAAAGGCTGACCCTCATCAACCCCCCCCCCCCCCCACAACTTCGCAATGGCATATCTTCCGCAAAGCTCTACAAACAGCTTGCAGACACACACGCACACCCAGCAACATGGCCCGGAGATAAACCGTTAAAAAAAGACATCCCCAAAAAGCCCCTCTGTGGTTGTTTTCTGGAGATTGATCTCCATGCAACACGTAACCATTCTGGCTCAAGGCCTTTCATGTAACACCTAGATGCGCGTAGCTCACTGACCATTGCATCCGCGATACAAAGGTGCTAGCGGACCACTTTCAGGATAAACCACGACACACAGTTTACCAGGACTTATCCACCGCAGAAAGATCCTCTACTGCCACAAGATGATATCGGTTCCCGCGGAGTAGGCTTTCCGCAAGAGATCCAAACAAGATGTCATCCGATGGAGAAGGCTTCATGGAAGCCTATTCAAGTGTAGGCCGATCCCATGGAAGAGACGCTCAACTTATCGATGACCGCCAAGCAGCCGCCATCGTACGACGGAAAAGTCAGCTGGGTTTAGATATGAAGAACTCGTAGATGATTGGGTGACCTTCACAACAATCGAAGCATCCAAGAGGACCACTCCGCAAGAGCAGACTTGTTGGAGACGCTCACATGTGCAAGGCAGTCCCCCAAAATGACCTTTTGCAAGATCCTGAAGAAGGAGTCACGAACGTGTACTTGTAGAGACTTCTCAGTTTCTTCAATCACTGAAGGCAGAACACCGAGTTCCTCATCTTGCTATCAAAATGCTCGGCGTGTCAGACAATTCAGAGAGGATAGAGGATGACGTCTGGTACGTGCTTCGGGGGGGGGTTCTTCCACGGACCGCGCGGCAATTTGATGACGTTCCACTAAACGTAGTCTTTGGGGACGTGTCGCAAAACAGGGGTCCTGTCTCGATTCCCCCTGCCGGCTCTTTGCTGGTTTAAGGTGTCTTCCTTTTGCCGAAAATCTGGAAAATCTGTGTATATCTGTGTTTTTGGACGTCCTAATTGCGAAAACGCTGGAAAACCGCGGGAAATATTGGGGTGCAAAGGGGAAATGCAAGGAAGTGCAAGGAAATGCGGGCAAAGGGGAACTGACAGGGACATGCACAGGACAGAAATGAAAACAAGGGGAGTGCAGGAGGAATGAGAGGGAAACGAAGCACAATGACACCAATCGGCACGACGGGAGATGTAGGGAAATGACTCGCAACGAAAGAACGGGAGACACATGGAAAATGAAGCGGACATACCGAGAAAATGTCAAGGGCCTGAAGGGGAAGTTGAAAGGCATGCATGGGAAAGCCAGTACTGAGATGACAGTTCAGGGGGGCGCTTGCACATTGAGGAAATCAGGGGGGACATGACGCTGCATGCAGAGAGAGAGAGAGACAGGGAGAGAGCGGGAGAGAGAGAGGGAGAGAGGGCGAGACACAGAGAGTGAGAAAGAGAGAGAGAGACAGAGAGAGAGAGACAGACAGAGCCAGAGACAGAGCCAGAATCAGAGAAATAGAGAAAGAGAGAGAGAAAGAGAGAGAGAGAGAGAGAGAGAGAGAGAGAGAGAGAGAGAGAGAGGGGGAGATTGAGGAGACAGAGAGGGAGATTGAGGAGAGAGAGGCTTGGTTGGCGGACTGAGCCGGAGGCTCTAAAGTTTGAAAGTCTCTTGATGAGATTGACAGCAGCCTGAATGGGCTTGATGCCTGTTCAAACGGCACAGTCACCAGAGTTCACAGCATCAGTACAAGATGCCAACGCAAGAAGATGGGGATGCATCAGCAAGCAGCCAGAGCCGCACCTCCAGATCTGCTGTCCACAGACAATCCAGAAGTACTCAGACAGTACCTCAATGGCGCGCAGACAAGACACAAGGGAGCATTCCCCTCAGCGACAATCTCATTGCGCAAATTTTCATTATTCAGAGCGAGTTGTCAGATCAGCAGAGAGAAAGACTGATCAGTGCAATGTCCGCCGACAGTGCTCGGCGTGTCGCACACCTAGTGGCAAAGGAAACATGACAAAGGAAACTCCAAAACGTTCGCAGCCACGGCAGAGAATTTGGAGCCGCCAATCAGCAGACTGCGCCATCCACAGAGCCTACCTACGCCGGTTGGACAGACCAAGATTGGGATCCATCATGGAACTCATCCCGTCAGACATCCAGCACAGGACAAGCGTTAATGGCGTTCCATGACGCTTTTCAGCATGAGAAAGAGGCCATCCACGAGAGTTTCAGAACACAATCTTGGCAACAAAGCTGATGGCGCCAGTCATCAACCCTCAGCACAATCCGACCTATGCGACCCTGGACAACGGATGTGCCAGCTCCATCGGCAGCTTTCATGCAATCCCTTTGTACTCAGACCATCGAACCCATGAAGGGCCTCATCTCCTACCACTACATTCCGGCCAAGACCAAGTTCGCATTTGCCAACGGAGAGACGAGAGACAGCTAAGGTCAATTGTGCCTTGCATCTCAAATATCACACGACTCCTCCAGTACCTTTTCGACATCCTAGAACAGGGCACTGCGCTTTTGGCATGAAGCGTCAAGCGGTTCCAGTATCCGGTACAGGACATGCGCTGGTCGATCTTGCTAGAGTGGCAAGAGTGAAATCACATGGAGAGATTGCTGCAAAAGGCCTCATAAACTATGTCTACGATGATGACAACAGCATCAAGTTTCCTTCCGAGGATTACTCCAAGAGAGAAACTGTTTTGCATCCAAATCATCGGAGACAAATGAGGACACAGCAACTCCGAAAGCAGGACCATTGGATACTCGACAAGAAGAACAAGCAGCCAATCCGTGTGCACATCACGCCTTGCAAGGCGCTGTTCACACCAACAGGAGCGAAGGAATGTCCAACCAATCCTGACAACACCAGCCGAGAACGTACAACAGAGATCATTGATGCATCTAGGGGCGGAGATCCAGACATCCTAGAAGACAATGGGAGACTTGGAGACTTACATCCCAGTGGGTAGGTAAGACCATTTTCACCTTCGCAGACAATCTGCTAAAAGATGAAGAGTAAGGTTCAGGATCTGCAGCAGACAGGATCATCGACAAGAAAGGCCGGTCGACCATTGGGCCAGATTCTACTGCATCATCCGCAGACGAACCAACATCACTACCGCTTGCCTTAGGCAGAATCCACCAGCGATTGTCAAAGCCCGAAGAGTTGAAGAAGCTCCACCTCCAGCATCATCACATGACTACCAACCAGTTTGGATTCAGAACCCGCGCTCTCACTTGCCGAAATTTACCTATGACTTATTTGACAAATTCCGAAGTGAGTGCAAAGTTTGCCAAGCAGCAAAACATGCACCATCCAGAAGCAAAACTAGTGGACTTCGAGCGGATACATTTGAAGACATGACATTCGTTGATCACTGTCAAGTTCCCCTCGGAGCCGGAGAACATATCACTGTTTGTGTCATCCTGGATGGGGCAAC